TGAATTACCATTGTGTATGAAATGTGCTATATAAATAAACTTGCCTTGCCTTGCCTTGCCTTGGTAGAAGAAGAGAAGATACGATTATTACCAGACTTCGCATTGACCATACTGCTTTAAATTCTTCTCTATATAAAATGAATAAGCATGAGTCTGGGAACTGTAGTCTGTGTGGATTACCAGAAACAGTAGAGCATGCACTATTACGCTGTTCTGCTTATGATAATGAAAGAGCATTTCTGTTGGAAGATTGAAAAGAAATAGGGATAGAAAATATTACACTTAAAACGTTGTTGAATAATGGCTTGAATCATTATAAAATATATAATGCTTTAATGACATTCTTTAAAAAAGTAGATCTGTTTAACAGGATTTAGAAGGTTTAATTTTTTATTTTTTATTTAGTGAACACTTTGTGAACTCATTTGATTACTTGCTGCTGTTTATTCTAGTAATTTATGGCATTGCCGGCTGGAAGGAAACAGAGCAGCTTTTGTCTATTTTAGTCAAAACAGTCGTTGTTTTTTAAACCTCCTTCACACTCGATATGAGAAAGAAAACGAATATCTGTCGCTCCGAATGAAAAACGAATTCAAATAAGGATAAGTTAGATAAGTTTGTTGTTCCTGATCACTGTTGCCAACTCTCGCAAGATAAATAAGCAACCGCAGCTTAAAAAACAAGCCCAATATTATTTTTTTGATGATTTATTATCATCAATTATTTATTACCAATAAATGACCCTGCAACATATTAAACTGAAACCACTCTTTTATCTGAAAAGCAAAAACAGATATGTTATTTTACAAAAATCAGCAATCTGCAACAGCATTGGGAACGTTGAGTTCATTTGTACGTCTCTAAAACCTTGCTCTTTAGTTTGAGGCAACAGAGACAGGCAGAGTGACTTCATTCTGTCAAGATGTAAACATCTGCTTGAACGGTCCAATATCTGTTTGAGATCTACCTTGACAGTACTGCGGACCTCAGGTGTTTCTCAAGTGCCTTGAACATTTGATCTTTTAAGAAAATATTATTTTGGATTATACACCACAAACAGACAGGGTTGTTGCCTAAATGTTAATTTTCATGTCATATTTGTTTAAAACAGACAGAAAAGTGTGAGGAGGAAATTGTGAGACAGCAGGGTAAGAAGAAAGTAATGCCCAACAAACTGCAGTTTGATCTTCAAGAAAGCAAGAAAATTAAGAAGAAACAGAAAAGGCCCAAATCCAAATGTTCAAGAAATCCAAATTCAGTGAAAGCTGTGAGATGGGACAGCATGGAGAATCTGAAACCAAACTGTGAGTATTGTATTAGATTCTCTCTCACTGATGAGAGATTACAGAAAAGGCTTTATTTTATTTTTTTTAAATCCATTATCATGACGCCAACCTTTTCAATGTTGAAACTGATTTAAACCTGCTACAGGACATCTGCAGATACTGATGATTTTTTTCCTCTCACTGATATCTCAGTCTTTCGGTATCAAGCTGTTGAGTCTCAATCTGATGAATCAGAGAGGCCCAGGATGTGAGTTTACATTACTGACAGTTAAAGAATGTATTTTCGTGCTAACTAAGATTTATGAATGAATATTTATGTTGTTTTAGAAAACATCAGGACCTTAAACTCCAGAATGTGACGTGGGTTCGGTCACCATCCTGGACAACCTGGAAAACCTTCAGCTTTTACACATCTTCTGTGTCCTCCATGGCTGTACATTTGGAGCTGCACTGATTTTGAATTTGAATTCTCTCACTGTATTTATTGCACTTTTAACAGTGCAAGGGGGGGAGGCGTTACTAGCATGATGTCTGGTAACCCTTTACTTGTAGCTTTAATGAAGCTTGGGTGTAGCTTTAATAACACGTTTGGGTGAGGGAAGAGTTCAGAAGAGAGCGGGACATGCATGAAGCTACTGTTAACGATGACTGATTAGGAGTTATTTCATTAAGTGTTTTGAATTACAGATGTAACTGCATTATATTTTCAGGCCCTGGGTTGGGAACCGTTGGTTTTAAATATATTTTCTTTACATCTTTTAAATGTTGTTTAATTGAGTTCTTGATGCTTAGTTAAGTTTATACACTAATTGCTTTATGTTTTTCATTCCTGTGGCTCAGTGGCAGTGTGTGTGAGTGTGAGTGTGAGTGTGTGTGTGTGTGTGTGTGTGTGAGAGAGTGAGTGTGTGTGTGTGTGTGTGTGTGTGTGTGCGTGAGTGTGTGTGCGTGAGTGTGTGTGTGTGCGTGTGAGTGAGTGAGTGAGTGAGTGAGTGAGTGTGTGTGTGTGTGTGCGTGTGTGTGTGTGTGTGTGTGTGTGTGTGCGTGAGTGTGTGTGCGTGAGTGTGTGTGTGTGCGTGTGAGTGAGTGAGTGAGTGAGTGAGTGAGTGTGTGTGTGTGTGTGCGTGTGTGTGTGTGTGTGTGTGTGTGTGTGCGTGAGTGTGTGTGCGTGAGTGTGTGTGTGTGCGTGTGAGTGAGTGAGTGAGTGAGTGAGTGAGTGTGTGTGTGTGTGTGCGTGTGTGTGTGTGTGTGTGTGTGTGTGTGCGTGAGTGTGTGTGCGTGAGTGTGTGTGTGTGCGTGTGAGTGAGTGAGTGAGTGAGTGAGTGAGTGTGTGTGTGTGTGTGCGTGTGTGTGTGTGTGTGTGTGTGTGTGTGCGTGAGTGTGTGTGCGTGAGTGTGTGTGTGTGCGTGTGAGTGAGTGAGTGAGTGAGTGAGTGAGTGTGTGTGTGTGTGTGCGTGTGTGTGTGTGTGTGTGTGTGTGTGTGCGTGAGTGTGTGTGCGTGAGTGTGTGTGTGTGCGTGTGAGTGAGTGAGTGAGTGAGTGAGTGAGTGTGTGTGTGTGTGTGCGTGTGTGTGTGTGTGTGTGTGTGTGTGTGCGTGAGTGTGTGTGCGTGAGTGTGTGTGTGTGCGTGTGAGTGAGTGAGTGAGTGAGTGAGTGAGTGTGTGTGTGTGTGTGCGTGTGTGTGTGTGTGTGTGTGTGTGTGTGCGTGAGTGTGTGTGCGTGAGTGTGTGTGTGTGCGTGTGAGTGAGTGAGTGAGTGAGTGAGTGAGTGTGTGTGTGTGTGTGCGTGTGTGTGTGTGTGTGTGTGTGTGTGTGCGTGAGTGTGTGTGCGTGAGTGTGTGTGTGTGCGTGTGAGTGAGTGAGTGAGTGAGTGAGTGAGTGTGTGTGTGTGTGTGCGTGTGTGTGTGTGTGTGTGTGTGTGTGTGCGTGAGTGTGTGTGCGTGAGTGTGTGTGTGTGCGTGTGAGTGAGTGAGTGAGTGAGTGAGTGAGTGTGTGTGTGTGTGTGAGTGTGTGAGTGAGTGAGTGAGTGAGTGTGTGTGTGTTTGTGTGAGTGAGTA